GATGCAGACATGGTGGGGGACATCGATGGATAGCGGAGCACCTCTAGCATGCTTGTCTTCCTCGGGTCGGCTCCAATCTCATGGCTGTCGCTAAAACAGAAGGTGGTGGCGCTGTCCATGTGCGAGGCAGAGTACGTGGCGACGGCCACAGCGGCGTGCCAAGCTATGTGGCTGCACCGGCTACTAGGTGAGCTGACCGGTGTGGAAGCTCACCCACTAGCACTGATGGTGGACAACCAGCCCACCATCGCCCTCGCGAAGAATTCGGTTCTCCGCGACCGGAGCAAGCACATTGATGTCAAGTTCCACTTTCTTAGAGACTGTGTCGATGGAGGGTAGATCGTCATCGAGTTCGTCGAAACTGGTCGGCAACTCGCGGACATCCTCACCAAGCCGCTCGGCCGTCTTCGGTTCACGGAGTTGAAGAAGATGATCGGCATGGAGGAGATTCTAGGGTTAGCAGCAAGATTAGGAGATGAATTGTTAAGTAATCTGCTGCTCTCCTTTGTACAGTGCGATAGGGGCAGGCGCCGAAAGGGCTCCCCTGCTGCTGCACTGTAGCCGCTGTAGGGGCAAACACCGAAAGGCTCTCCTGCCGCATTGTAGCCACAGCAGGGGCAGGCGCCAAAGTCAGCCCTGCTATCACATCTAGTCACTATAGCAGCATGGCAGCCTGACATGTCTGTGTATTAGGATTAGATGGGTAGAGTTGTATATATAGTTTTCCACTACAAGTCAGTAAAGAGAGTGAGTTCAGTTTTGCCATCACCTCTGCAGAGCTCTGGTCAACGTTGGTGCTTGTGTTGTATGTGTGCTCTGTTCTCCCTCCCTTCTGTGTGGTCGGCTCACCTGTTGGGAGATCTAGGGGCCAACAGATACTGCTGACTTTTACAAAATAGGTACTCCTACTTGTGAATTACAGACAGGTTAACGGATACCTTTTCTGTGAAAACTTATGAGGAACTGAGGATACTGGATACCTTTTTTCTGTGGACAGTTAAACTTTGTCTCGTATCCTATGCAGAAAAAAAACTCTGTCTTGTATCCGTGGAAACATTTATAGAGAAGTTAGTGAGGCAATGCAAGCAAGAGCGCAGTGTCATGGTGGAAATCAATTGTTGAAGTAACATTCCTGTGCTTATCTGATCAAGATAAGGTAGTAGGGCCATGGAAAGGAACGGGAGGAGGACGACGGTGATGGCGACCAAACAGTGAGCATCAGAGGCTGGCGATGAGCGGTGGTGGGGGACGAGGAGGCTACCGTGTTGGAGCGGAAGCAAAGAGTCAACATGGACAGGGGGCCCCCAATCCACATTCAAAATAATAAAGTTGGCATTTGGGACTAAAACGATGAGATTGTTTGGATAAATGCTGATGTATGACTGGAAATTCACAGAGGTGCACATATGCTATTTCCATGATATAACCACTATAGAACCATTGATATAAAAGCCTTATGGATTAGTATCCTCATGTATCATTCACTCCTATATATTCATGTATTAATGTTATATAATCTCGAGATGATGGGCAAAGAGTGGCGCAAACAAATGGCACTCAATAAGCAACCATTGTATCCTTGATGTGTCTAACATCTACGGCTTTGCCATCAGATGGCATGTGCTATCTATCTGGGTTTGCATCGACTACCGTCGATCTTGATCAACTTCATTAGATTCATCATGTGTTATTGGACACATCTAATGATCCAAATATGAGTTAAGCAATGTAGGAGTTAGGTCCATGTGACCTTTTCCTTGTGCCGTGGTGTGTCCAATATGGGCGGACATTGCATGGAAACAGCGAGGAAACACCGTGGGAAAAGACGCGGGGATGATGCACATGGAAGCGTGCGTGTCCGCTTTTATAGTTGTGCATCATGTCATGTATTGCGTGTCTGAGGACGTGGGCAGCCTAGTTTCTTAGACCTTCCACGGTGTGGAAGTGAAGCCTAAAAAATTTCAGACGTCACCACTCAAAAATAGCACCACTCTTCATAACTTGAAATGTATAGGCATCACTAGTGGACCCATTAATTAACCAATAAAAAACTAAACCAATCCTCCACCTGTTCCCTCTGGCTCTCTCTCTCTCTCATTGTATTGTCAAAAGGCAGACTGATTCTTTTTAAATCATCAAGCACCAACGCTTGATGATGCATCGCTCCAAAAAATTATAGAACAGACATCACTACATGCAACGTGTGGAGCACTTCTAGCACGCAAATTTGGTAAGCGGATCACGGTCACGCTGCTCCATAATACTTAGACAGCAACCCAACCACCTTCTTTTGATCCAAATCTAGACACATTGATCTACAGGTTGCAGAATGGAGAGAACATTGATCACCTCTAACCTCTCCATGAGCGCACATGCTTCAAGATCGTCCCGGAGGGTTCACCACGGGCGTGATTGGTTGCCTGAACCGGGCCGTCATTTGGCCCATCCTGCATCCTTTGGTGCATTTGCCTATGTTTGGTTGCCCTACTCACATCTTTCTCCTGCTTCCTCCCGTGCAGATTTGCTCCTCCATCCCGGACGCCGCTGTCTTCTCGATCCCCACTTCCCTCTCGGTGCAGGCTCGCTCAGTGCTTGGCGGGAACCTTTGCGCCGAGCGCGGGAGATGAGACCGTCCGGGCCATAAAGCGCGCGCGGGGGTCTCGGCTAGGGTTACCACCCTCACTCTTCGCCTCTCCTTCCACCATAGCTCCGGTGCGAACTCCCGTCTTGCTCCCCCTCGACCTCGGTAGCCCTACCGAGGCGACCCTCGCCGGTGGATTTCTCTCGGTCCTCCGGCGCTTGGACGGTATATATATGCCACCTGTGCTCTTCCCCTCCTCTTCTTCACTGTCGATTTTGTTGATTTGTTGGTGGATTTTGCTTGAAATGCCAAGAAATCAGGGTTCTTGGTTTGACATCCTCAGATCTATACGATGCTATACTTGATTTACCTGTTCCTAGCTCAGATCTGTATATGATGCTTCGTATTTGGTTTATACCGCATGTTTTGTGTAGATCTTGTACATGCTGATGCCTATTTTGTTGTACACACTAAGCAAAGTGCCTAGAGGTCAATGATGTTGATTGGGTAATAGTATATGCTAGAGGAGCACCCTTTGGTGTGGCAGCCGCGTCTTTCATTGTTCATTTTGTCTGATTTTTTGCTTGCTAAGCAGTACACACCCATGTTGCATGCTCGCTTTCTAATGTTGCCCTCCATCCTGTTGTGGTAGACATGGCATTTGAAGCTAGGCGAAGGGCTGCCGCTGTTGTGGTTGTTGCAGTGGCGGCTTGGTTTTTCATGTGGTTTAGGAGGAGAGTTGAAGATTCACGCTCAGTCACCTGTGGTCCCTTGGCTGAGAGGGATATACAGAGGATGAACAACCTTAGATACATCTATGAATCTGATGATGTGCACTGTGTCAACCTTCTTAGAATGAGGAGGGCCACTTTTTTCCAACTTTGTGACCTTTTCCATAGTAGAGAGCTTGTCACTGACAGCATACATGCATCTATTGAAGAACAAGTAGCCATGCTCTTGCATGTTGTTGGTCACAATGAGAGGTTTAGGGTGGTTTACCTTACCTTTAGGAGGTCCACAGAGACAATTAGTAGGTTCTTCCAGAAGGTGTTATATGCGGTAGGAGAACTGAGAAATGAATTGATTATCCCTCCTGCTACCAATGTCCATCCTAGGATCCTTAGGAGTAGAAGGTGGTACCCCTATTTCAAGGTTGGTATCCATAACTTATCATACATAGGTCTCATGCATTATTAGTTTAGTGTCCATGTTCACTTGCACTTATGTTTTTTTCAATTAGGACTGCATAGGAGCAATTGATGGTACTCATGTATTAGCTAGAGTGCCTGTGAAGATGCAAGATGCTTTTAGAGGCAGGAAGCACACCATCACACAAAATGTGTTGGCAGCCATAGACTTTGACCTTAGATTCACCTATGTGCTTGCTGGTTGGGAGGGATCTGCACATGATGCTCTTATCTTGTCTGATGCTCTTGAAAGAGATGATGGCCTTAGAGTGCCACTAGGTATCATCCAAACCAAAAAAAACTTTGACACTTTGCTTAATCCTAAATGAAACTACTAAAACATGTTCCTATCTGCTAATTTTTAGGCAAATTCTATCTTGTCAATGCTGGCTATGCAGTGAGGCCTGGTTTCTTGCCACCATTTCATGCCACAAGGTACCATTTGAGGGAGTTTGGTTCAAACCGACCTCAAAATCAAAGAGAGCTTTTTAATCTAAGGCATTCGTCTCTTAGAGTAACAGTTGAGAGGGTTTTTGGGGCTCTAAAGAATAGATTTAGGATATTGGACAACAAACCTTTCCACCCATATAAGACCCAAGTTAAGCTTGTTCTAGCCTGTTGTATTCTTCATAATTGGATCCTTAGGCATGGGCAGGATGAGCAAGTGCCTGTTGAATCCACATGGACACCTAACATCAATGATAATGCCTCACAACCAGATCATGTCCCTGACAATGGTACCTGGGCACAACAGAGGGAGACATGGGCTGCATATATGTGGCAAAATAGGGGAAATTCTAGGGTGTAGTGGCATGGTGTGTGTACTGTTTAGTAGCATTGGAGAAACTTGTATTTTTACTGAGACCTATGGCACTTTGCAATGATGTAGTACCTATTCCTTTTCTGCCTATTTGATCTGTTCAACTTGTATTTCAAACCATGCAATTTGTTTTCCTTACATACTGGTTGTTCAATGTTATGGTGGTTGTGGATAGGAAATGGACAATGTGCCTGACTAGGTTGTTAACATTGGTGGTGAGGACAATGCGGTGGAACAGGGTGGGGTAGTTGCTGCTAATGATGGCAACCAAGCAGCCCCTGAGCCCAAAGGCCCTATGCACTGGAGTCCTGTCCAATCTGGGTTCATGCTTAGGAGGTTCCATGATTTGGTGGGGTAGGGGGTCAAAACTGAGAAATGGTTCAAGGAGGTACATGTTAGGCAGGTTGCACTCATGGTCTCTGAGTTTGCTGGGGTCAATGTGACCACCCAGCAGATTTACAATCACCTGAGAAAGTGGAGACAAAGGTGGGTTAAGGTTGTTATGCTCAAGGATTTGAGTGGTGCTCTATGGGATGAGGACCACCATATGATAGTACTTGATGATGAACACCTGCTAGGCCACACCAAGGTTAGAAACTATTTGGATAACACCTCAGCTATCCCTTCTCTTTTGTTTTGCTCCTCTATGTCTAATAGTTACATCTGTTTCAGTAACTAGGACCATCCTGCTAATGCTAAGTTCTTGAACATACCAATAGAGAACTATGTTCAGATGGAGGCCATCTTTGGTGGTAACCAGGCAATAGGCAGGTATGCAATGGGCTCAAATGAGCCTCTGGGTACTTCAACCGACATTGGCCAAGGTGATATTGATACTGTTGAGGACAACACTGACTTCGGTGGCACAGAGGCTGAGTCTAGAAAGGGAACTACTTCTGGTATGGAAGGCTCTAAGGGTTCTGATGTCAAGGGCCAGGAGGAAAGGGGTGGCAAGAGAAGGAAGCTTGCCCTAGAGGAAATAGACCTCATGAATGGAATGATCAAGGCTGTGGAGTCTGTAGGAGATGCCCTCAAGACTCCACAGCATAATAAGGTGCATTTATGGCTGTGTTATGGACTGCCCTGGGTACTCATAGAAGGCATTCATGTTTGCCCTAGTTTACCTGCTGAAGAACAAGGCTAAGGGACTTTGCTTTGTTCAGATGATAGAGGCTCATAGGATCTTGTGGCTTAGGACCTACCTGAGCACAACCTACTTTGCTTAGATACATACTAGCTGGCCTCTCCACTTTTGCATATAGCCATGCTAACTGTCTTATGTTGTAGGAAGTATTTTGATGTGTAGCACTTACCTCAACTGATGCTACAAAGAACCATTTGCCGCCTAACCAAGGCTGCACCTAGTCTGGAATAGCATAGGAGCCATGGTGATGGATGTGAGGCTTTGTTGATCTGTGTGGTGTAGACATTAACAAAGGATGATGGATTGTCACTTAGTTGATCTGAGCCCTAAAATAGCTTTGATTGTCAGTTCACCTAATACATTTCAGATGCTGTTATTGTTCTTGTAGGAGTTCCTATTTGGCCGATGATGCAAACTATAGCAATCTGAGGTGGCTGTGGATATTATTCCTGTTGTTGTTTTATTGTCTGCTTGTGCTTTCTCATGTCTTTCATCAAACCGTGGGATACATCCATTCATAAGCAACTGTTGTAGACATGCCTACCGGATGATTGGGATGGACGTGTCCCACGGTTTCATGGGAGTCATGAACTTACCTTAGCAATTTGTGTTCTTATTTGTCACCTGGGATGATTGCAGTTTTTGACTGAGGCTGATACAATTGTGAGATCCTTTTCATGCCTATGAAGATAACAGTGCCAGTTTGAGTAATGGATTATGCACATTTTTTACCTTGGACTTGTGAGGTACTGGAGCATTGTTTCTTCTATCTTCTGCTTATGCTTCTCATGGCTGTAATCAAACCATGTGAAACATCCATGCCCAAGCAATAGTTGGACAATTCTAATGATCTGATGGCTGGGTTGGATGCCACTCATGGTTTCATTCCTGTCATGATTTTGGTTTTCTACAATCTGTTTGAGGTTTGTTGTTGTCTATGTTTCTTAAGCTCCAAGTCCAATGTCAAATGAAAAGGCAATTAAATCCGAGGCAAATCGATTGAACTACCCTTCATTTTATCAACATCTTATACTTGCTTTTATGTGTTTTTTAAGAGGCAAATGGCTTGGTATGTTGTGTACCATGGAAGAGTTCCTAGGGTATATTCAACTTGGGCTAGATGCAATGCCCAGGTAACTGGTTTTAAAAACAACAGCTACAAGAGCTTCCCTAACAAAGAAGAGGTAGAAGCATCATACTTAGAGTTCATGGGTTGTGAAGATAAAGTTTTTGTCAATCCTCCACCAAAGGTGCTCAGCAACAAACCGGTGTTATTTGTTGTGGCTGTGGTGCAGTGTTTTCTGTTGCTGGTGCTCCTGTGGTTCGTTCTTACTCGTTGCTACAACTGTCTGTGATGCTCAAAATACCATGGCTTGGTAAGTTGCCTATAGGGGAAAGTAGCCTGGGGTCTATGCCCTAAAATGCCTCCTTGCCGTTCTTCGGCCAACCAATGAAGCCCTAAAATACTTGGTTACCGGCTATTGCTTTGGTTCGGTCGTTTATTTTGATGATGCTTGAGTTTTTCATTACTAAGCATTGTTGTAGGTGCCTCTAATTGTTTCATATTGCCTGTGATGGTTTCAAAATGCCATGAAAACATGTGGAGACAATGACTTTGTGAGGAACTGTGACTTTTGAGCAACCAATCACACCCTTGTTCATGATTTACTGGGAGTATTATTGTCATGTTTATGTCATTAGAAGCTCCAAGTTCATTGTCAATGCCAAGCTTGTTGAATTGAGGCAAAGTTATCTCTGTTTTCTTTTATTCTTCTTTATTCTGCAATATCTGTTGGTGACCACACCAAACTCATATATGGGTACTCAGACCTGGGGAATACGGACAATCAAACCAGAACTAGAATCACCGGTTCATACACCGAAACGGTGTAAACGAAAAACCAAACACGACGCTGTTCATCCGGTATCCTGTACTCGGTTGCAACCGATCACACCCACTGACACGCTTTCATCCTGCCGCCTCTGCCGCTGCACAGAACTCCAGCTACAGAAGAAGAAGAGCGCCCCGTCTCCGCCGCCGTCGGCCGCTGCAACTGCCACCGTTGTCACCTCCCCTCCGGCCACTGACAGTGTTCAGTCCACTGCTCAGAAGCAGACCGGGCGACAGGAGCTGGAAGAGCTCGTGGCCGCCAAGGCTAACACTTCAAGAACTGCAAGTGCGCCGAGCCAAGCTCAGGCTCGCCGCCGGCCTGCCCCGGCAGCCACGTCCCTGCCGATGGCGTTCTGCAGCGCGTTGGAGGAGGCGATCAACACGTTCGTCGACCCGCCTGCGCTGCGACCGTCCGTGGACCCGCGGAACGTGCTGTCGACCAACTTCGCTCCAGTGGACGAGCTGCCGCCGACGCCCTGCCCCGTCGTGCGCGGCGCCATCCCGCGCTGCCTCGCCGGAGGGGCCTACATCCGCAACGGACCCAACCCGCAGCACCTCCCGCGTGGGCCGCACCACCTCTTCGACGGCGACGGCATGCTGCACTCGCTCCTCCTCCCGACGGCGGAGTCGCCGTCGTCGGACCCCGTCCTGTGCTCGCGCTACGTGCAGACGTACAAGTACCTCGTGGAGCGTGACGCGGGAGCGCCGGTCATGCCGAACGTCTTCTCGGGATTCCACGGCGTGGCCGGGCTGGCGCGCGGCGCCGTCGTGGCGGCCAGAGTACTCACTGGGCAGATGAACCCAGCCGAGGGCGTGGGGCTCGCTAACACCAGCCTCGCCTTCTTCGGCGGCCGCCTCTACGCGCTTGGCGAGTCGGATCTCCCGTACACCGTGCGCGTCAACCCGGCCACCGGCGAGGTGACCACGCACGGCCGGTGCGACTTCGGCGGCCGTCTCTTCATGGGCATGACAGCTCACCCGAAGAAAGACCCCGTCACCGGCGAGGTCTTCGCGTTCCGGTACGGCCCCGTGCCGCCGTTCGTCACCTACTTCCGGTTCGACCCGGCCGAGAACAAGGGCCCCGACGTGCCCATCTTCTCAGTGCATCAGCCGTCGTTCCTGCACGACTTCGCCGTCACGGAGCGGTACGCCATCTTCCCGGAGATACAAATCGTCATGCAGCCCATGGGCATGGTGGCGGGCGGCGCACCCGTTGGGTCTGACGCCGGCAAGGTGCCCCGGCTCGGCGTGCTCCCCAAGTACGCCACGGACGAGTCGGAGATGCGGTGGTTCGAGGTGCCGGGGTTCAACATAATGCACTCACTGAACGCGTGGGAGGAGGCCGACGGCGAGGAGCTGGTGCTGGTGGCGCCCAATGTCCTGTCCGTGGAGCACGCGCTGGAGCGCATGGAGCTCGTGCACTCCTGCGTCGAGAAGGTGCGCATCAACCTGCGCACGGGCGCCGTGTCGCGCACCCCGCTCTCGGCGGGGAACCTCGACTTCGGCGTGATCCACCCGGGCTACCTCGGCCGGCGAAACCGGTACGGGTACCTCGGCATCGGCGACCCCATGCCGAAGGTCTCAGGGCTGGCCAAGCTGGACCTCGACCGCGCCGGCACGGGCGACTGCACGGTAGCGCGGCGCGATTTTGGGCCCGGGTGCTTCGCGGGGGAGCCGTTCTTCGTCCCCGACAACGTGGAGGGGGACGGCAACGAGGACGACGGCTACTTGGTGTGCTACGTCCACAACGAGCGCACCGGCGAGAACCAGTTCGTGGTGATGGACGCGAGGTCGCCGCAGCTGGACATCGTCGCCGAGGTGGAGCTGCCCGCGCGCGTCCCCTACGGCTTGTCACGCAGGCCGAGCTCCAGGCGCAGCAACAATAATGATCAAAGCACCAAACATTCGTCTGAGGATCTGTAGCGCAGGATTCCAATTCCAAGCGAAACACACACCGCTGCATACTGAATAGATTGTAGTAACATAGCATTCACGAATACGAATTATATTGTATTGCAAAGTAGCAGAACCCATAAAAAGGGTTCATGAGTATAATTGATATGAATTCGGGCATGTTCGCTTGTCTGAATTCTGAAGAAATCTGGATGATTTGGAGAAATGCTGGAGAAATTTATGAGAGAAAAACGTTGTTTCGGATGAAAAAAAAAACAGATGAAGCCGACTTTAAAGGCACGTCGACGAGGCCGAAATCACAAAGATCGGGGATTTACTGGAATAGTACAATGTTCATATCGATGGGTGGTCCACCACCCACTGACATTGTCGGCTGTGCACGGTGCACGGAAACAGGGCATGGGTTGGGAGTGGGACAAGGGCGACTCAACCGACGAGGCCCCGACAACCCGGCACACAAGGCGTCAGCCAAGAGCAGCCCAATGACAATTGCTGGAACGAAGCTGGAGCGCATGGTAGAGCAAGGATAATAATACACGAAGCTGGAGCGCATGGTAGAGCAAGGATAATAATACAGCTAGTCGCTGGCTGTAGGCTGTATGAATCCTTACAATTTACTTCTCAGCTCATTTATATAATAGTTACATCTTTACTATTAATATATGACCCACTTATCTTTTTCACATAGTTTTTTTTTTAGGTCTTATGTCCAAAAAGGCTATAAGCTTATAACCCGCTTCTTCTCTCTCCTTCCATATCTCCTCCATCTCAACATTCAGCCTGCTGCCCCTTGTTATGCTTACTCTTAGAAAAGTGCGAGGGCAGGGCAAAACCTGCGATTCCAGAATTCAGCGTCTAATAGAAACATGGTGCAAACTGTGGACAATATGATTATACGAGCTGCAGGCAATTACAGATATACGGTGTTACAGCTCTTTGAATACATGTATGTAGATGTAGCAATTAACAGAATACATGCTGTTTTTCTTCAGTTCCTTAGTGGAGCTCACATTGCATTTGGTGTCAGGACCATCCAACGTCATAGAAGAGTTGTTAAGTCTCACAAAACCAACGAACATAAACCTAATCTGTCATCTGTCAAATCTCTCTCGTGACTAACCTAACTGCTCCTAGAAGGGCAGAGTACAATTTTACACGATAAATCAAGATCATTTTCTGTGGTATTTCACTCTTTTTCCTGTGTTTTCTGTATCCATAGTTCCAGTAAGAGGGGGTACCTAAACGAAGTTGTATAGATCAAACGCCTCCAAATTCTCAAGACTCGTGTGGCACATCCCACACCCTAGAAAGAGATATAAAGGGCACATTCTTTGCAACATGAGAAGGACCATCGATTGACTCCGATGCACATTTTACATAAGATACTCCGATGCCAGCCAGTTTTTCTCTGTGCCGTGCCCAGGTCACAAGGTATAAACCAGAGATGATTAGAAGTCCTCCAATAATACTGCAAACAAATAATGCCGATTATACATCAGAGTTTGGATCAAAAGGTGAGAAACAGGAGTAGAAACTAGTAAGTTCACTGATGTACCACATCTGTTTACCTGACACTCTGGAACAGTACTCTTCACACAAAAAATGAAAGGAAAGGCTAGGTGATTGAAAAGTAGAACAAATGATAACTTCATCTTACCTTCCAAGGTAAATTGGGCTTCCCAGAAAAATCATAGACAATAGAGCAGAGACCACTGGCTGAAGAGGGTTATAAAGTGCCACCATAGCAGGACCCAATATTTTGTTGGACCATGTCAATAGGACATAACTAAGAGCAGATGCCATGACTCCCTGGAATATGGGAAGAAATGTGGAGTTTGAGTAGCAAAAGGCATGCATCATTGCATCAAATACTTAATTCATGGCCTACAAGACTAGTGCAAAGTGCAGCCATAGTCTCCTCCATACAAAGCACAGATACAGAATCTCAAATTCATAGTCACATACACGGGATCTTACTCCACTGCATCAGTACCAAGTACTAAAAGTTAAGTTATCACATGTATAAGATAGCATATGCATTTGAAGTAAGAATGTTACATGCAAAATGATACCCTAGGAAGCCATAAGAACAGTAAATAATTGAGAACTTACAGCATATACAACAGCAGCAAACTCAGATTGAGTCAAACTCCAATCACGTTTATCGGTTGTTGCAAAAACTCCTGAAATGACCATTAAAACCACTCCAAAGAAGTATGAGTATGCAGTGAGTGACAGACTTGAAGGATACTTCACCAAAATTGGAGCCTGATACATCAAGGCACGGACAAGATAAGAATAACAGTTAAGAGAGCTTTCTGTGAAACATAAATATACTAAGAAAGTGAAAGGCAAACTCAAATGCAAGCATGTGGCATAAGATAATGTTAATCCAATGATGTCAGATAGATTATCTCCTTTTATAAAGACTAATTCGAATCACTACAGCAAGTTAAATTTTTCTCCGCCCATGACAAATCATCTACTCCCTCTGTTCCATTTTATCTGGCGCAAGTTAGAATGACACGGTCTCCTGGCTTACACTTTGACCATTCATTTGTTTATACTATATTATTTATGCTTATAAACTTGTAATCATTGGATAGTATAATTCCTTACAAATCTAATCACATAAAGTTTGTATTATATAGTTAAAAATTATTAGCCTAATTATTGGTCAAAGTTTTTAAAGTTTGAATCTTGATATACGTGTGCGCCAGATAAAATGGAACGGAGGTAGTAACTGTTATCTAAATCTAGGGCCAAATTCAATATTGAATGCTCTGAATCTCTGATCAGCGGCTGGCTACATAGCATGTATGTGTGATCCTTCTAGAAGAAATAAGGTAAACTTTCATCATTGTTACAGCTGCAATGCAGCAAGGGTGCCAGGACTCCAGGAGGGAAGGCTACCAGCAAGCTATTAAGGCTGAAACGTATATCAAAATACAGCGCTCTCGGTAGACTCAATCCATATAATTCTTCCTCTTAAATTACTGGTAGAACCCAAAGAGACATGCAGAACTCAACTGGGTCGACATTTGATTGGAAATTAAAAACTTAAAGTACCAAGCATCCCAAATGTTAGACAACAACAAAGTATCTCAGCAACCTGAAAATGACAAATACCTGCAAAGCAAGATAAATAGCCATACATAGACAGTTCCCTATCAAGCACAGCACTCCAATGTGCCACTTTTCCAGCCCAAATGCCATGAACAAAGATATTAGAGGTCCAGCAGGCTCAGGCTGCGACATGTCAGCTATAACACCATGATTATGAACTTCAAGAAGCTCAAGCTCGCTGCTACCAAACACAGCTGGGCCTCTGTAGAGCACCATGAGAACAGCTCCCAGCACACAAACGACTGTGCCGCCTATCTTGGCCCTGCCCTCGTTTGAGACCAAGCTCACCGTTTCGGTCCTGAAACACACGGGGTGTTTTAAGTTCAAAAGCAAGTATGAATGTGAATCTGTGTGGAGTGTCGCGATTGAGAGACTGACCCCATGATGAGGGCCAGGATGAAGGTGAAGGCAGGAATAGACGGCTGAATGGCGGCCGCGTAGGTGGGGTTGGTGTAGCTGAGGCCAAGCAAGAACAGCAGCTGGTTCCCAAAGACGCTGCAAACCAAACAAAGGATGCATCAGAGTACGGAATTCCGCAGGCAAAGCAGTAAGCACTACATTGCGGATGAATCCCCTTTGTTCTAGCCGACTTGAGTGAGCTGGTGGCTTACCCAGTGAGCCCGAGAAGGAAGAATGAGCCGACGAGGCGCCAGGTGAGAGGCGGCGGGCGCGCCTGCGCAGGCGAGACGCGGTGCTGGAAGAAGGCGAGCGGCGCGAGGACGGAGAGGGCGAGGAGGTCCCGGAAGACGCAGAAGACGACGCGGTTGACCCCAACGTTGAGCGCCTGCTTGGCGATGACGTGGTACCCAGCGTAGACGAGCTGCACGCCCACCATCGTCAAGTGCGCCCGCCTCCCCTCGCCGTCCCGTTCCCGCGCCGCCATCCCCCGCCGATCTCGATCTCCCTCCGCCTCCGGTGGGCGGTCGCCGTCCCTTGCCCTTGCCGTCCACTTCACTTTTGGTGGGCTAGGCTCGTGTTGGGCTGCTCTTCATCGTTGTTCCAGTGGGCTAGTTTATATGGAAGCAGGCCGTTATTTTCCAAATTTTCGGGCCCACCTCGGCTCATCGCTTACCTACAGTCAGGTCCATTGGGCTTGCCTGTTGATACTAGGTGGATCGGGTCGGACTGTCAGTGAAAGCATATCATCGTATTACCTCCCTCAATTTTCGCGAAAGTCAGCTTTTCCTTCCTGAGCTCCAAAACCGGCTAAAACACCTCCCTCAACTTTTAAAATTGTTCATCTTACCTCCCTGACCCGGTTATAAGCGGTTTTGAAGGCGTTTTTGTCTTTTTCTTTTTTATTTATTTTGGTCGAATCTTTGAAAAAATCATAGTAAATCAAAGAAAAATCATGAAATGGAAAATTCAATTTTGTTGGACTCCAAATGAGTAGATTTACATAGTGAACTTATAATATGTTATGCTTTAGTACAAAGTTTTTGTTGTAGTTTTAGATCTATACTTTTCTGTAATTAAATGAAATAATTCATAGTTGCAGTTTCTATGGTACAATTGTGGTGAAATTTTTATGGTGGGCTAACCATTGTATGCTTAAACTATAGTAAAAATTTCATACTCATTGGATCATATATAACTTAATTATAGATTTTATTTAGGTTTATACTTGTTAAATATAAATAAATCTATAACTAAGCTATACATGATTCAATGAGTGTGAAATTTTTACTATAGTTCAATCATACAATAATTAGCCCACCGTAAAAAATTCATCACAATTGGACCATAGAAACTGCAACTATGAATTATTTCAATTAATTACAGAAAAGTATAGATCTAAAGCCACAACAAAAACTTTGTACTAAATCATACCATATTATATGTTCACTGTGTAGATCTACTCATGCGGAGTCCAACAAAATTGGATTTTCTATTTTATGATTTTTCTGTGATTTACTATGATTTTTCAAAGATTCAGCCAAAATAAATAAAAAAGAAAAAGACAAAACCGCCTTCAAAACTGCTTATAACAGGACCAAGGAGGTAAGATGAACGGTTTTAAAAGTTGAGGAGGTGTTTTGCCCGGTTTTAAAGTTCAGGGAGAAAAAGTGGACTTTCATAAAAATTGAAAGAGGTAATGTGGACTTTTTCCTATCATCCATTCAACATCCTCAAACAAGTTACCCCCTCCGGCCCTCCGTCTTACTCGCGTCTTAGCAAGATAAATCTGGTTTATCCTGTTCAGACGTTTTTGGCTTCTGGAGCTTTCGCCCCTTGCTGATGAAGGGTGTGCCTAGATGATGGGTGGTGTATAGAAGGGCCTAAGCTCCTTGATCATCCTCGGGGCTTGGATTATATGGATTGGAAGCATCGGAACCGTTATGTTTTACAAGGTTTGGAGCCTAGCTTAAGGGGGTTGTTGCAGCTTGCTGCAGATGAACTGCATTCATGAGTGTTGGCTGGGCCTCGATGGCTTTCCCTTTTGACTGCCCTACCCCCAATGAGTAGTAGGTTGAGGTCATGGTAAATTTTCTTTGTAACAATTACAAGCGCATGAGTAATCCATAAGGGCTTGTTTGGTTGAACTAATATCCACCTTAATCCTTGTGTGTTAGAGTAAATTAAAATTAAAATTAGTTACTTTTTTTCCCTAATCTACTTTAATAGATGTGGATTGAGGCAGATATGAGTGCAGTTGAACAAGGTCTAAGCTGGGGCGGTTGGTTGTTGTACTCCAGGTTCTTTACTCATTTTTCCTCTTCTATAATATAATAATGATATGTAGCTCTACAGCGTTTTTGAAAAGATAAAAAGTATGAGTTTTTTACCCATATCAATATTCTCAGCTAGAAAGGTACCCAAAGGACAAAGATACTGGGCACCTCCAACTCAGACCAGACCACCAACTATTTATCTTAAGATGGTACATTCCACGAACTAGAAAGTGGCATGAAGGTTTTAGAGGCCAGGTTTACACTATTTACTTCTTTAGAATCACTGTCAAGGGGTTCCAATTCAGATTTTGTATAAGATGGTCCACTGCCGCTCATCTTTTCTCTATGCCGGGCCCAGGTGACTAGATATAAACCAGAGATGATCAGAAATCCACCAATGATACTGCAAATAGACACGGGAGAATACATACTTCAGAATTGATCAAAAGAAATGGAACACATTAATCGCTAGAGAATAAAGCAAAAGGTTAGGTAACTAAAAAGTAGAACAGCTAACAAACCTATCTATATACCTTCGAAGAATTGCTAGAGATGATATAAAGCAAAAGGTTAGGTAATTAAAAAGTAGAACACCTAACATACTTGTGTATATACCTTCCAAGGTAAATTGGGCTTCCCAGCAAAAGCATTGACAGTAAGGCAGAGAGCACTGGTTGAAGAGGGATGTATAGAGCCACCATAGCAGGGCCCAGAAGTTTGTTGGACCATGTTAGTAAACAATTATTAAGAGCAGACGAGATAACACCCTGGAATAAGGGAAAGAAATTGAGTTTGAGAGAAAAATATTTGTTCTAAATGATATATATTAACTTCGTTTTTTTAATTCAATAAAGACTACTGCAATGGGATGCAATTCAAAGCAATGCATCAAAAGCACATATACATATGAACTGATGACGACATGTAATGATGTAGGAACACAGACAATAAAATTTATAAAATGCTGATAACAGCTTCATAAGGTACATGTAAATTGAGTGCAAATCTTACAGCATATACAACAGCAGCAAGCTCTGATCGAGTCAAAGACCAGTCCTTTTTGTCATTTGTTGCAAAAGTTCCAGAAATGACCATCAGAATAGCTCCAAAAAAGTATGAGTATGCTGTTAGTGACAAACTCGAAGGATACTTCACCAAAATAGGAGCCTGAAACAGCATTACAACAAGAAGGATAATCATAAAAGATAGTAAAACATTCTGCAAAAGGAATTCTAGCACATTTAGATCCTGGCATGAGTTCCGGTATACTGAAAGGCAAGATATTAAACTTGAATTCAGATTGCAACATAAATGTAATATTAGTCGAGGGATGCTGGACACATTGTCTCGATATAAAGAATTAAAGACTAATCTTTGTCACTACAGTGGATTATAAAGAATTAAAGACTAATCTTTGGCTGTTCTCCTATGCTCAGACAAAATCCAGTTCTTTAAGTTGTGATGGGCTGATGGCCAGTTCGCCCCGCATCATGTCCTTTCTAGGACAGGGGGAAGATGCGAAGAACAATGGCTGTATGAGTAGGGGAGTTTGGATCTAATAGATCCTTAGCGTTTAATTCAGATTTGAGCTAGACCCCAAAAAACCCCGTGGACTCCGTCAATCAAAACAGTCAGTAGAATGTTGATCAATCGATAACGTTGCCAACATTTTTTATGCCTTTGTCGAAATAGCTTACAGTGGCTTACTCAAATTGTGCTTTCAAGCGTGTCAATCTTTCCTTTTTCAAGCAAACAATAGTATCGACAGAGAAAAAAAAACCATTAAAATGCATAAGCAAACGAGTGGATTGACAGCCAGCAAATGACAAGTACAGAAATACCTGCAAAGCGAAATAAATAGCCATACAGAGACAGTTCCCTATCAAGCACAGCACTCCAATATGCCACTTTTGCAGCCCTATCGACCCGGCTGGTTCAGTCTGTGACTGTGACATACTAGCAGGCATAGCACCACCTAGCTCGAGCTCGCCGCTATCAAACAGCGCTGGTCCCCTGTATAGCACCATGAGGACAGCGCCGAGCACACAGACTACTGTGCCACCAATCTTGGTGCGGCCCTCAATCGAGACCAAGCTCACAGTTTCAGTCCTGCAAACAGGCAATGTTTTTGAACACATAGCAGAAGTAGTAGACTCGAGTGCGTTGACCTGAGTGAGCGAGAGACGGACCCCATGATGACGGCTAAGATGAAGGTAAAGACAGGAATGGACGGCTGAATTGCGGCGGCGTAGGTGGGGTTGGTGTAGCTGAGGCCAAGCAAAAACAGCAGCTGGTTTGCAAAGATGCTGCAGACCAAACACGTATAGATCCGTCAAGAGCAAATTTGCAAGCAACGCCAGCAGCACTGGTTGCAGATTCAACATTGCGCGGTTGCGCCAAACCGAGTGAGTGGACTTACCCTGTGAGACCGAGGACGAAGAACGAGACCAGGAGCCTCCAGGTAACAGGTGGCAGAGCCTTGGCGTGCGAGCCGCGATGTTGGAAGACGGCGAGGGGCGCGAGGACGGCGAGGGCGAGGAGGTCGCGGAAGACGCAGAAGACGACGCGGTTGACGCCGACGTTGAGCGCCAGCTTCGCGACCACGTGGTACCCGGCGTTGATGAGTTGCGAGCCCACCATCGCCGCGTGCGCCCGCCTCCCGTCGCCGTTCCGCTCCCCGGCCGCCATCCCCGCCGAAGCCGATCTCGCACACGCTTCCGGGTTCCGTTCCGGTCGTCGTCTTGAATTTAGTGTAGAGCGTTTACTACAATCAATTGGGCTGGGCTTCTTTGTTGGTCAGTTGGCTGGGCTAGTTGTCGATCAGCATATTTGGGCTGAAGGCCCCGGCGGCCGTTGTCGGCAGCCACGGCCCAAATTCCATGACAGGAACTCAGCGCCGGAGCTGAAACGAGCAATCTGGTCTAGTCTGGGCTGGGCTGGGCTGCTACGATTCATTCCTCCGTAGTTAGACCCGGTCTGTTAGCCTGAATGGGTCGCATTTCAAGTTTCACAAAGTTTTTTTTCTGTCTGGAAAATGAACGTGATTTTTTAAAAGCGTACTGCCTCCGTAGTTCAATCACGGTTGACTCCAGATAAATTTTATACTCCTATATCCAACAATAGTTAGAGCTCCCTTACAGAATTAAAAGAAGAAGAAGACGTACAATAGTCAGAGCTGCGAGATCACTCTGCTATAAAGAATAGTTGAGCTGACTCAGCTCGGCTGTGTATCCTGGGGTCTTATGAAGCTGATGGAAGCACATGGATCATGGCTGCCACCTGTCCTGCTTTTTTTTTGTCAAACTAACACTCCCGATTCCCGAATTTTGAAGTCAACCTGCCAGTCAATTATTCTCAACTAGGACTAATCAATTATTCTTATATTAAACAAGTTTTCCCTCCTTAAAAAATGTCTGCATTATTAGCATATGCCATGCTCTAATAAGACAGTTCTCTCTTCTGGAAACGCTGTGCAAAGGTCGTGCCAGAAAAAAGGAACAGTGGAGCAGTTGACTGGAACTATCATATTTATATTATGTAAGTTGACATTATTATGTATATATGTATGAAAAGGCTGGTTATATTTTTCGTTTTTCAACTATGAGGAGATTCATTGCATATATATGTAGTCAAGGACTCAAGGTTTTGACTTTCTCAAATGCATTGTTTTCAATGATAATGCTAGGGGAAAAGGCGCGCATTGTCATTCATCACGTACATCACCCAACACTTCAACAGGGCGCCACAGATGCGCCACGGGATCGAGTTGACCTTGCCCCATGCATTTAACCAATCACAAAAGTCCAACAAAAACAAAGTACAGGTCAGGAAGAAAACAGTTAGAGTTTGACTCGATCGATGCCCGTATAAAATATAGATCAATATATACAATGCTATGCATGCTTGCGTATTTTCCGCCACCTGCGAAATATAAAAACATGTGGAGAAGTCATCCATGCATGCATGAGGACGCTGTTGACATTGTTTTTCTAATAATACATAATCGATGTGAAGCAGTCGCCCCGTACGTTTCTTCCTAGACCAGGAGAAGCCACACTAATTAACAATTTTGTAATGCATATATACGGATATGTCCCGTACGTAGACTTTACTTGCTGCCTTGCGGGATCGAAAACCGAACGTGGATATATACAGATAGATATTATTATAAGTATTTATGCAGACAACAATGCCAAAGAAATACTACATATATATATACGAACTTTTTTATATATTATCCATGACGGCTTGATGGATATATATGCATGCATTTGAAGTCGATCTAGCAGATCGAATGGAATAAAATATGGCCAAAAATTAGCAATGGAGAGGCCACGTTAATTGCACGCATCCGGCAACCATACAGAGGAACGAGAACCTCTTCAGTTAGATTCGTCAGAAACAAGAGCTCCGCAAGAAATTGTGCTGCAGTCAACACATTAATAATTATATTGTTTATAGACAATGATGCGTCCTCGATGCAGACCTAGCTAACCTTGCATTGCACGTTGACTAAACCTGCCCCTCGAAGCAAGTATTTTCCACTATAAACTTTTCAACGTGAATCCGAGAGAAATATTGTTGAATGGTAAGATGAGTTTTCATACTCTATATTATTGCATGAATAACACAAGTAATAATATTTTAAATTCTTATGAAATAACATAAGATGTATAAGTAAAATGGGAAAGTTAAGTTCAAAAAACAAAAACCATAAAATGGTTCCAACAGCAACAATAATATATCAATATTTTTGTACCAGAAGAGTTTATTATTGTTTATTTGCTAGGAATGTGAAACAATTTTTAGATAGTCTTTTCAGGACTTAATTCTATCCGTAGCTCCCCCGGAGGTTGACCTTTTGGTGATTTAAACCAAAAGAGAATAGTTGTAACTCGCAATATATACGAAGTTGCATAAGTCACATCTCATCAAAAGAACGATAGACTTTTGTAAGATGTACTAATTATCATTGTAGACCATGTTGTTTATATGTCATCGAAACTATACCATACCGTGCCACGTGTTCTGATCTAACCAGTTCATAAGACATGACCTAAGCTTGCGCTTTAGGTCCTCTTTGATACTAGAGGCTAATTGTTAACCGAAAGTAGCTCATTAGCTGGCTATAGGTTTCTTATGGTGGAACTTGTTCATCTAGGTTTAAGTCCTTGTTCATAGGTCAGGGTGTACGTGCATGCGTTCATATGAGTGACTATATGTACATGTATGTGAGTTTGTGTCCGTATTGTGATTCTAAAAGACTAGTTATTATATTAGCTCTAATTAAGTGATTTAAATACAAGGGTTAATAGGTAGGCTAAAAATTAGGAAAACTCTTTGCTAATTGTTAGCTCATTATTAGCTAAGTACTCCCTCCGTTCCAAATTATAAGTTGCTTTGACTTTTTTGGTACATAGAATTTGTTATGTATCTAGACATATATTATATCTAGATGCATAGCAAAATGGATGTACCAAGAAAGTCAAAGCGACTTATAATTTAGAGTGGAAGGAATATGTATGCACCTATGTGCTGATTTAGACATGCCCTTAATTTCTCTAAGCAGCCTTTGTTCTATGGTTTTGTTTTTCTTCACGTTGACTTCTCACATTTAAACACATTATTGTACCAAAAAAACATTTTTTTCTCGACAAATGTATCTAGATGCGGTCTCGGAGGATTTTGGACGTCGGCAAGATGGAAATATACGCCACAGAAAAGGCTGACTTCATGGCCCAAATGCATAAGTAGTACTCCTTGGACCTGTAATTTCCACGTGACACGTGTTGGTGAGCCGTCATCCAAGCGGATGGACACGCATCGCGCCACGTGTGGCTGAAGCAGGTGCCGCAGTTTCCACATCCCTTGTTGCATTGGAATGGTCCAGCTTCTCCCCTCTTTCCATATATACGAGACTGCGACACATTTTTGACGAAGATACTTACATATGTAAGAGTAGACAAAAGGAGCTAGAGATACCTGCATCAATCATCCTGTTCGCTTAGCTTGATCGTATCAATCATGCTTATCAGCCATGATATAGTGTTTTTCTCTCACATAACAAAACCGCATCAGTCGATTTATAAGCTACAGAAACAATCAAGCGAACAGCTAAATGATGCGGATGGAGGTGCTAAGCTAGCAAGTGACCAGTGAGCCAGCTCGCCCCGCGGGGTCCTGAAACGGACAGGACACAGGACAGCACAGGACGGGCCGGGCGGGAGGGCAAGTACGGAAGCGGAGAGCCAATCAGCCGCGTCGAGGTCGTCGTCGTCTCCGATCCGGTCGCATTCACGCACGCGCACGGCGGCGGGAGCCATTAGTATATGCCGCATTTCGTCGGGCGCGTAGACTAGTACGTCCAGATGGCCTGGATCACCGGTGGAGGCGGCAGTAAAGAAATCGGGGACACTGATTGGCCTGTCCACGCATCCGTCCGTCGGCCCGGCAGGCGGCAGCTGCCCAAGGGCCCTGGCGAGTAATGCCGGCCGTGCCCTGCCCGACTGCCTGAATAATTGGCACAGAGGATAGGATTCCATCTGTCTCTCGCCATTGGAGTGAGAGGAGAAGCAGGCGACCTGCTGCCGCCGCCGCTTCCTGGAAGCTTCGTCCCGGCCCCCGGCCCTCGCGCGCGCGGCCGCCGGCCGCTCCGTTCCAGGCTCATCATTTTTAACTGCGTCCCTCTCCAAAGTCAATCGCGCTCACCTATCCCCTGGACGTACTCGGGGGCCACCGCGGCACTTCCTCAGTTCATCACTTCATCTCGAGGGAAATCGGGAAGTAGTTTAGCTTAATCCGGCGGGAGATCCGAGGGACACGGTCACACGGAGGAGTCGTTCATGTATCGGCTCAATCGATGTCTCATCATCAGGGGATTGGATTAGAGAGAGGTAATAGGCCACCTGTTGCTAGCCCTTCGGTGTCTGAAGTAGGCTAGTGATAGTTTAGTTCTTCGGATCTCAGAGAGGCCGGGCAAAGTATTACTGCTGCAATCCCTAAAGAAAACACTCGCGCCCCACACATTTTACCATGGTTTCCTTTTTCTGAGAAATGGCTTGATTGGCATTACTATTTAAACTCTATTCCACGGCCACCAGTGATCCTGGCCGTATGGACTTACGCGCCCCAAGAGTTACCAGTAATCGCAGCCACAACTATGATTGTTATGTCCAACTATCAATCATAATCAAGTCACTATTAATCAATCCAAAGTGACTAAACCAGCCCACCCAATACCATGTCGTGGTGGTCGGGTTCGGCAAAAGCCTGTGCACACGACACTCTCACGTCCACGCTCATGCACACGCCTTGCCATGGCTCGGTGGCGATGACGGCGGCGTGAACGCGGCACGTCCTTAGCCTCCCTCAACTCCTCAATAGGAGCACACTTAATGTAGTTCTTGCGGCAGGTGGTGAGGTCGAAGATCGTGATGCTGAGGTCGGATCCACTGTCATATTTGTAGACAAGCATGTACCCATCGTGGAGGTTATACGCGTGGGCGGAGATACTCTAGCCCCCACGGAGGGACACATGGTTGTTATTGTTGTCGCTGACAACTTGGACGTCCCATTGTGGCACCTTCTGACGTCCCATTCTGGCATCCTCTGTTCCCGTCGAGTCGCACCTTCAGTTCCCGGCGAGGTCCGAGTACCTTTCACATCCAAAATGGTCACAAGTTGTGAAG